AAAGCAAATTCATCACATGGAGTCCACACTGGCTCATAGTGAGCCCTCTGTGAGTGTCCGAGACTGTACTTTAACAGTTTACAGGAGTACAAAGCCTCATCTTTCTCCCACTCTTAACACAGACTGTATATCGATAACCCCAAATGACAGCTCCCGCGTAAAGTAGTCTCATATTTCTTAAACATCATAATTAACCTTTACTTCATGTTAGCTATATGTATATAGAATATATATAAAATACATTGCTATTGTGTAGAATAGAGATTTGTTGATTCCTCTGCATACTAATTGATCCAGCCTGAGCTGTGACCAACTCATAGACCATCATTGGAGAACTACATAGATCAATGGAAAATTACTCTTATTTAAAATATATGCGTAACTGTGTAGAATAAAACATCCACTTCACTAAATGGAATTCATATCCCTACTTGAACTGAAAATACTAGTGTTAATATCTTCCCTGGGGATCTGCTTCTTGCTATAGCACCTTCAATGATTTTAAGCAAAATGAAATTTCATTTTATGCTCAGAGGAATGTTCCTCAATCGGCACAGCTCTGTCTTGTGTCCTTCGACGTATTTTAAAAGGAACGGGTTCCAGGGTGAGAACAGTACAACACGCCTTTTTTCTCCACGAAATCCACTCCCTCACCCCCCAAATTCAAAGGGTGGGGTGGGAGAGAATCAAATTGGGCAGTTGATTCAATTCTTTGCCATTCTTTTAATCCCTTCCGCTACCTTTTAGGACTCTTGGGGGTCTAAGAATCCAAAAAAATTTTTTTCTACGCAGAATTGCCCTCTGTCCTACATACATTTTAGGGGAAACGGCCTAGAACGGAGGAGAAAGTGGCCACAGAGAGGTCAAGAAGCACTTGTAGCAAACGGATTGACTAGTTCTCTTATTTCCAGGAAAGGCGTAAAGAGCCTTGCGATTTGCTGTGCTTTCCCACCCAACAACTCAAGATTTGTGCCCAGCTCAATTTCCACTACTTTGTTACATTGTTTTTTGCTGTGCGTTTATGCTGCCTCCACCTTCCCTCTGGCTGGGCAGTTACTTCTACACTGTCTGTCTCCGATAAGAACAGACCCCGAGCGCTTGTCTCCCTATTTAAACGGGAACCAGGGCTGCTCCATCTATGAACACGCCCTTTCCTACCTGGCTTTAACCATTTGGCTACCTGAATTTGCCTGACCAGGAGCCGACAGTCTCTCTTTTGGTCTAGAAACAGTAACTTTGGAGAAGGTTCGTGGAAGCATGCTAGATCATATTTTCCTGGGTTGGCCTTCCTTAGGGGGGTGTAAATGAGTTTTCAGTCTCTCTTCAGAGAATATAAAACGAGTAACTGATTTATCTGTAATGTCAATGATTTGGACATTATGATGACATCAAGTGGCCGTCTCCTGGCCTGGCCTTCCCTAGAGAATTAGGCACCCACTGGCAGCACTCTTCAACCTTTCCACCCTTTCCAAATCCCACGTTCCAAGTTCCCTCCGTGAACATAACTCCAGATATTCATACCACCCGTCGTGCACTGGAGGAAGAACTGGAGCGTACTCTTGTCTAGACACCTCTCGGCACGAAAAATGTACATCTTTTCGTTTTCTTGTAGCGTGCAGGCTGTTAAGTTTTGGGGGGG